GCCCCTGCACACTCCGGCGCGCTCACGACCAAGGCCCCCATCACCCCCTGCACACTCCAGAGCGCTCACGACCAAGGCCCCCATCAGCCCCTGCACACTCCGGAGCGCTCACGACCAAGGCCCCCATCAGCCCCTGCACACTCCAGAGCGCTCACGACCAAGGCCCCCATCAGCCCCTGCACACTCCGGAGCGCTCACGACCAAGGCTCCCATCAGCCCCTGCACACTCCAGAGCGCTCACGACCAAGGCCCCCATCAGCCCCTGCACACTCCGGAGCGCTCACGACCAAGGCTCACATCAGCCCCTGCACACTCCAGAGCGCTCACGACCAAGGCCCCCATCAGCCCCTGCACGCCCCGGAGCGCTCACGAGCAGATTGCCCCCTGCCCCATCAGCCCCACAAAAGGTAAACTAAAAAGTGACTCAGCAGGGCTCTGAGTGTGCAGGGCAGGCCCGAAGTTGCAGAGGTGCCCTGCACACTCAGGGGCGCCCTGGAGTGTGCAGGGGGAGTTCTATGTTGCATGGGGTCCTTTGCCGGGCTCAAGAATGTCCCCTGCACACTCAAAAAGAGCGACCCCATGTAACAAACAATCGCCCCTGCACGCTCCAGAGCGCCCTGGAGTGTGCAGGGCACCTCCGCAACTTCAGACCTCCCCTGCACACTCTGACCCGAAAAACGACAAAAAATGGTTAACCTGTTGGGCTGAGGTCCGCACGTTTTCGTTAACTTGTTGACGCCACCGCCGCAGCGCGGCACAGAAACTTCAATCGCATTCATCCCTCAATTGTGGCAGGCGGCGGCCGGGGCACATGCTCGACGGGCATCCGGCTGCCTGCTCAAAGGCGATGGCCAAGCAGTGCCTGGACCCCAAAATCAACAGACACGGAGCCATCTCATTCAAAGCTTGACTACACATGCACAATCTAAATATTGCAGATGTCATTCCTTTCTCCTCTCCCCTCTTCCCTCTTTCTATCTCCTGTGTCCTGTCCCCACCCCCCACATCATCATCGTCATCTCTCCCCCGTCATCCTTTCTATATCTCTCTATCTCTCTATCCCTCTCGCTCTCTCTCTCTCTCTATCGTTCTCTCTCTCTCTCTCTCT